TTGTCTTTTGGTTTAAAATTTTTTTTATAACTCACTCAATAAATTAATTAATAAAAAAATAAAATGAATAAATAAATTAATACTCATTAAATTCAAAATAATTGCTTTCTTTCACTTTAGTTACGCACGTTTTTTTAAACTTATAATTTTAATTGAAATATGAAATATCAAAAATTTTTTAATTGGTAAATCACCTTATATGATTTCCTTTGTCTCTTCTCGTTGCAACAACAATGGTTTTTTCTTTATACCGACCGCATTTCATACAATAATGTGATGTGATAGTATCAAATTTCACATGTCGTTTTTTTTCGCGGAAATGTGTTCCTCTATGCTAAGGAAGCATAAATAAACTATTAGTATGTCATTTTGTCTGTCTGCATATCTGTCTGTTTGTCTATCTATGTAGATCATCTACATAGATAGACAAACTATTTATGTTTGTCTATCTATGTATCTAAACTTTGCTGATTCAGTCAGGTCTTTGGAAATGGATCTTTTCTACGAGCCGATTTTATATTTTTTCTCGTATACAGAGAAATAGTTTCTTTGTTGCAAATAGAAACTTTCACGAAAAGCCGATTTTATACCTTTGACCATACCTCAAAAACTAATCATCGTAATTTTTTAAAATTTAATATTCAAGTTCAGGTTGTTAATGAAACTAACTGTGAAACATTGCAGCGAAAACGGGTCACGGAAAATGAACTTCTATTAAAAACCAAATTTACATTTTTTAAATTTACATTTACTAAAACTCACACTCTATAACTTAAAATTTAAAATATAAAATTTTAAACAAATACGAGTATTTAAATGAAATTTTCATAAACTTTTGCAACACTTTAATAATGAAGTCGGTTATGTGCTGCTCACATCATATTTTTTTTATATCGAAAATTTCAAAAATTTCTGGAAAAATTTTTATTATTAAATACTTATATTTTTTTTCGAGAACCCTTATAAAGTAGCCCAAAGCTTATATATATACGTACATAAGGGTAACTCCGGCCTTGAATGTTTTCTAATTGTTATATAATATTCCATACTAAAATTCCTTTTATTTCGTTATTTGAAATTTCTATTTCTCATAAGCACATGAGTAATTGACTTAGTCATTCATGAGGAACCCAGTTTTTTTAAATGTTTTTATAAAATATTAAAAATATTTTTAAAAAACCTGGGTCAAATTTTATTATTACAGGAAAATATTGGACAAATTAAAATTACAAATTTTTACCTGAATGATAATAAAAAGAGAAAAAATTGTCATAAATTAAATTATTTTTCTAGATTTGATTGAATTCATGCTTTAAATTTTGTAGAGTTTGATTTTTATTAAATACAAGAATGTAGAGGAAATTAAACATTCCTAAAACAAATTTAAGAATTTGCCTTAAAGTAAATTAAACATTCCGCTTTCGAGTAACATTCTATTTGTGCATCTATTTCCGCAAATATTTGGAATTCCCGAATTCTAAATTTAGTTTAACAAGGAAATTAGTTATAACATCCGTTTTAGTGATCTAATAATGTTGTTGAAATATTATTTTTATTTAAATACAAATCTCACTTAAATTTTGGAATATTTAAACTTGAAACTTTAAAACTTGATTTTCAACTATGAGAAATTTAGTTTAAAAATTCAAATTAAAATTTAGTCAATTTTGTAGTTAAAAGAATCATTATATTTGAATGTATAAAGGCATTTCTATATAAAATATTACAACCAAAGTATATTTTTGCATTCCAGAATCTAGTTACTTTTCATTTGGTAAACGTTTGAGAAGATGATATGAGTTTTATATGCACGAATAGATTTAAAAGTGAGTAGATTTACATACATAACACCGGCTGAACACTGATTTGCCAACATAATTCTTTCTACTCTAATTATAAATTCTTTCTACTAGACTTACGCCATTACCATTTTATACAATATTTTTAATGTTTTGTAGCCTTCAAATGATTTTTAAGGCATTTCAAACTTTTTATAGTGGACTCTTAAGTATTCAGCCGGGGATAATTTCTTTGCACCGAATATTTAGTTTTAATTTCTCTTTATTTAAATTTTAATAGCTTCTCCAATTGCCATTAACTATTAAAATTATCTAAGCCATCTTTAAGACTTGTGTACTTTCTGACTTCTAAATTATAAATTAAGCGTGAAGTTTCGAAGAAACATAAGTTAAGCGTTTTCATTTAATTAAGCGTTTAGTGAAGAAAATGAAGGTTTTTTTACATTTTGTAACTTTTGCATAAGTTTTAAATAATTAAATTAATATAAAAAATAAACATAAAAATGCAAAAATAATTAATAAAAAAAAATAAAGTATGTATTTTTTGTCAGGGGTGAATGTATTCATTTAATAAGGGTTTTTTTATTGCAAATTTCTGAAATATAATTGATTGACCGACTTTTCTTCCTCAAGTAAAAAATTACAATTGTTAGTTAAACAACTTTTTCAAAACTATTGCATTTTTTCTTCAGTTTAACGATATTTCCAGAAAAACACCAGCTTCTGGGTGCTGTAGTTTTTACAAAACAAACAAAAACTTCCGAAGTTATATACGAAGGATCTGCAAATATTTTATCAAGAAAACAATAAAAAAATATAAAAATTTTAGAAAAAATTAAGTAAAATATTCTTGTATCAAGTAAAAGTAGCCATATCTTTTACATTTTCTTATTTGAATCAAATTAGAAATATTTTTTCTCTATAAACATTATCCTTAATATTCAATTGTTAATTAATGGATTTCCTTTTTCCCTTTTATATTGTAAAAGAACTACATAACTATATTTATACACTTGAACAAAGCTCTCATTCTCTAATTGTTAGTATCTTAGCAACGACTGATAATTCACCTTGAATTGTTCATAAACTTTTATTTTTTGCAATGCATAATGAAAAAAAAAAATTAAATTTTTTTTCCAACAAAAATTTAGTAACTACATACATATTTTAATTTTTTATAAAAAGGAAAATTTCCAGTACAACAAAGGTACAAGGTATACAAAAATACTTAGCTATTCACATTATAGATATTTATTTATACATTATACTCGTATACAAAAATACAATAACTAAGTACTTATTCTAATGTATTTTAATTGATAAGGATTTCTACCGCAAAATATTAAAAGAACACAGAATTTTTTTTATATAATAAGAATGAAAATAAAAATAAGTTTTTTTCATTTTACATTTTATTTAGAATATTCTTATATGAGCTGTTTACAATATGAACACACTGTCATAATAACTAAAGTAGGTAGGTAGGTACATTAATAATAATATACTTCCCATTGTTAAAATCCTTGAAACAGGTGAAGGACAATACGTTCACATTTTTATATTTTGTGCTTATTTATCTGAATGTAAGTATATGTTAGATATATGTAGGTAGATATCTCGATTAGAATAATATGTTTATGTTACAAATGAGATTTTTTTAATTTTTCAAAAATTTGACGTATTATATCGATTTTAAACTTTTATTTCATTTACCAAACGTTCTAGTGAAATATAATAATTTTTGGCCTTGTAATGAATTTATCAAAAATTTGTTATACATACTTCATGATATTGTGTTTCTATTAAAGCAAATATTTTATGTAATAAAATAAATAATACAATTAGAATGGTAGGTAAATTAAATTACCTGAAATAATTAAAAAGATATTTAATACGATGGAATTAAAATATAAATCTGGATGTTATCCACAAAAACAAAATTGAATTCTTAAAGCGATTTAGTTTTAACACAAAACTCCTGAAATAGATATGTGTACATATATAAAATTTTATATAATCAAGTTAAATAAAATTATTTCTAAATTGATTTATTTTTTTATGTAAATAGTTAGGTACCTTCTTAGGTAACTTAATTTTTTATTATATAAGTACCTAAATAAAAATTTTACATTTCATTTCATTAAATAATCTATTTGCTTGCCTTGAGTTAGTTTATTGTTTTATAAAAGAAAAAATAATTTAAATTTCGCTTTAATTTTCGCTAATAATTAACACTATGTATGAAAAAGAGCACGATTTGAAAAAAAAATCTTAAGTTCATTTAAACCAATATAAGAAACGATTCAAAAACATAAAAAACTCGAATTTCAAAAATTATAAAAAGCAAAATATTTATTTCCTACCCAAACTCTAACAGGTTTGTTTACACTTAATTAATATAGTTATAGGTATATTCCTTCTGCATACAACAAAATAAATCTAAGAAAATATGTTTTTTTCTGTTTATATTCCTTCAAAGCGATGTAAAATTGTAAAATATACATATGTATATATAAAAATATGCACATAGGTATACCTATAATACTCAATTTCATATATACATGGATGTACATAAAATTTTGAGCCAATGAACTTGTACTGGTTACGTCAATCGTTTAGAAATTTTATGGGTAAATAAGAAATTTATATAAATTACTTAATATTATTACAAAAATATATAAGCACCTTCCGTTTTATTTAAAATTATTTTACCTATTCTATACAAAATTTTCCCAAAATCAAACTACATACATACGTACATAAATAGTAGGATGGGTTCCTACCTACTTAATTTATATTCTTCCTATTTTGAACTGATAAGGAAAGTTTTTATGCATATATTATTAATTGTTGAATATGTCGCAAATGCAAGGACATTTAGAACAAAAAAAATAGGATTCTTATCAAGGTTTCTGTTTTAAGGGCCGGAAAACATCGTGAAGCTCATAAAAATATGTAAGTTGGTATGCATGTAGGCAGGTACATTTCTACCTTGTATTTTTTTTTTATATTTTATAGAAAAAGTGCCTTTTAAAACAAAATTCCTTTACCCCGCAATGTTTTTGGTAACTTTTCAATAAATCTTTTAACTAACTAAAGAGAAATTAATTTGAATTAAAATTTCATAATACTTGAATAATGTAAAAATATTTTACTATCATTTTTATCTTTAAAAATACCAAAATTCTTTTTCTGACTCACCAAATATCACTTGCGCTTGTCACTTTTTTTTATCCAAAATTGGAATTTTTATTACTTGAAATGGCTGTATGAATGAAAACTTTTTTTTCTGTTTGTAATTTTCTTTTTTTTTTCTTGATAATGAATATTTTATTCTATTTTTTTTTTGTAGAATCGCTTCTTCAAGTTTTCGTGTTTTCTTTCTTAAATGAATTTTTAAATATTATTATTATATTATTGAATTTAAAACAAATAATTATTGTTGAACTATATGTTAAAATTTTAAATTTGAAATTAATGTATTAAGGAATTTTAAAAATAAGAAGTTGAACTATTTTTTTAATTATCAACCGCAAAATTTTTATTTATTCTGTATAAAAAAAAATAAAACTTAAAATAATGTCAAACGCTCTTTCTGTCAACCGTGCATCAACTAACCCAATTTCAGAAATTTTAAATTTTTATAATTTTTTAGTGAAAGTAGATATTGCCAAGATAAATGGGATTTTTTTAGCAGGAATTTCTCTGATGACACACTAAAATAATGCTCAATTTTCAGGTTAAAGTTCAAATTGCGACATACAATATAAAAAGTAAATGAAATATGTACAAAACTTATGAATTAATGCATTTATATTTTACAATTATTTATATAATTAATATTATTTTTATTCATATAAAAAAATTATTAAATCAAACTAGTTCAAAATAATAATCATGAAAACCCCGTTAAAATTATAAGTTGTATAAAATGAAACTATGAAATCTTTTTAGTAATGAAATCACATCATTCAATATCAGTTAATAACGGATTCTTCCTTTTTTTTGTGTCAAATTTGTATATGAAAGCAGAACATAGTTTCAACAAAGAATTTTTGTTTTTTTTTTTTTAAATTAATTTAATCAAAAATACATTTCCTATAATAATGTATTTGCATAGCGTCAAATCTAAAATATTTTAAAAATAGGTGATAACACTAATTATCGATATTTTCAATGACAGTTTTTAAATTTTTCGATACTAGTTTTTATAGTATTACCACCTTGTTAATACAAGAAACGAATGTAGCTATATGAATTTGACCAAATATTGCGCAAATAAAAAGAAATCGATCTTCCTTGGATTTCAAATCTATACACTAATAAAGAACAAAATAATATCCATTACTCTTTATCTAAAAAATATCTACTACCTAACCAAAATCAATTTTTGGACAACGGAAAAATGGAAGAGCATAACCCGCTTCCTCATAAGATTCACAATAAAGACTGAAAACTGAAACAAGTTTTTTCAAATATTTGATATAAATATGTATGTACATATATGTGAGATTATAGATCTTACAGCAGTATTCTCCATCAAATCAAATTAAGCATCAGTAATCTCCAACAAATTCTTTCTCCAAAAATTTTTCATTAAAAAATGTACGAATTTTCTTAGAGCAAGCATATATGTATGTACATAATATGTACATACAAGTACGTTAGTGTTAGATTTAAGTATATCATCATAATATCAAACCTCTTTAATTTATTCCCTTTTTCTAAATTTTACTCAAATTCTCATCAATGTGTTCATCAAGTCAATGTGTTGTTGATTCTAAATTTTAAATATTTAAATATTGAAGTTTATTAAAAAAAAACCAGATTTTAGGCAAATTCATTAGCGTTTCAATAGAAATACAATATAAAAACTTTAAGTGTTAATAAATATTCTTTAAAAATGCATTTATTACTACCACATTCCGAAGAGATGCAGTATTTCACGACCCAAGCCTATATTTTTGTAAGCTAAATTTTGAAAGTTGACTCAAATTTAAATATTTTATTATGTTAAATATACGTACACAAATATATATATGTATTACATACCCTTATATAAATTCAAAGAAATATAGCGCCTATGGCAAATAAATTGGCATAGTGCAGGCACATTCTAAATCTTTATGTGTAAAATTGCGTTGGTACACGATTAAATGATGAACATTATTAAAAAATAATTAATGGTTGAATGCTAATCTCATTCACTAGTAGGTTATTCGCCAAGCTCTCCAATGAGATATAGATTTAAAATAAATTTTTGAACAGTCTCGTAATTATATGTGTAATTATTTATATTTCATCAAATAGGTCGTTTATACGATAACAATTTGTTGTGGTCATAATAAATATGAATCAAATCATACATGTATGCAAAAAAGAATAGTAAATTATCATATTGGCCGTTGTACGGAGCGTATTCACTTCTATCATCAGTTTCAACATTTTGTATTAATTCTACATTTTTGAAAAAATTATCACATATTTCAAGATTATTAAGTCCTTTATATTGACTATTTAATCCCCACGCAATACAATGCACTTCCAAGAGAAATTGGTGTATAGCCTCTACTGTGGACAAAAACCATCGTGGGCTACCTCTCTGATGTCTCCAAAACTGTGAAATTCGATTCTGTAAAACAACTGTTTTCATGGATGAAATATTTGGATCTTTGAAAATTCCCCTACTTTGATTCCAAGTACTATCGATGAAAACTGCCTTTTTAATGGGTAGATTATTCTTTGTGTATTTTTTCCTATTCAGTATTTTTGTTACATTATCATGAGAATAATTAGATAATTCATTAACTCGTGTTCTTAATAGAGTTCCCATGTTAAAACCTTTTGGCATACCAAAGTTTTCTTTTACTTCTAATTCAATACTTTCATCAAAAAGTTGAGCTACAGTTGAACTTGTCAAGCCAGGAAAGATTAACACAACACCATCCTCTTTTGAATAATCCGGTATATTCGGATATGTGTAAACTTTCACATCTTCAGGGGCAATAACTAAAATTAATTTTATGAACATTGATAACGTTTTTACATTAGCTCTTATAAAACTTACTTGGTGCATGGGCCGAAGTGCTTTTTCCATCGATTTCATGTTTATGCTTAATTATATCAATTTTAATTGGAAGTTTAACGTTTGGTAGTTTTTCACTAATATTATTCAGAGGAATATAACAGCTGTAACAATAAAATTTTCTAGACTTTCCACATTTTATACAAGGATTTCTACCATTAAGTTGATTTAAAAAAGTATTGTCCGCAATTTCCATGTATTCAAAGGGGTATTTCCGAGTTTCTGAATTCGATCCTTTAAATCGTGTATTTTCCAGAAGTTCGTTAATTACAGAAACATTTGAACCTGACATTGTTTTAATATATTTTCAATTTAGCAATGTCTGTTTGTTTTAATAATAAAAAGTAATTTAAATTTGGATTAGATTTACAAATTTTTACTTAACACACGTACATAGTACATATATTCACAATTTGCTATTTATTTTGAAATGTTTTGACTTTTTGAGTTTTGAGTTTTGACAACATTATCCAAAGGTACAAACTTTGACAAAATTTTATATACTATTAATGAGTGAAGCTATAACTAGTGATGGATATTTTAAAAAAATAATCGATTTTCGATACATATAACTTGCCAAATTAATAATTGATTAATAATTCAACGATAGATGCACAAAACACAGCTTGTTATTTTTCAATACTCTAAAGTACACAAAGACTCTAAAATCTGGTTGGCAAATATTAGTTTTTGTTGCTGAGTGAGTTCTGTGATTCTTGTTTTTTTGGAATTCATCAGAGAATTAGAATTTCACTTTTAGAATATTTGCTACACACATTTCCATACACAAATCCTGTTATTTCCTTTTCATATATACTTACTCTTAGGTTTTTGCTCTCGCCAAAAATCACTTTATGTTCAATTTGTGCGTGGACCTTTTTTTATTTGTATTTTAATATATTTAAATTTATAAAATTCAAATTACTTAACTCTGTTTTCTTTCTTATCCATCTTCTTTGATTTCATATTTCTAACTATTTTACTAACTTTAAAAATAAAATTTTGTTCTTAAACCGATTTTGGATTGATTATTTTTCAAGATTTAAGAATACATTTTAGTTACTTAATCGATATTGTGTAAAAATTTGTAAGAAGTTCAAAATCTACAACATATTAAGAAAAATCAGTCTGCATACATTAACTAACATTTCACTAATTACAACTCTTATATTTCTCAAACTTCTTTATAGTTAAATACTTCATGTAATAAAAAATAAAACTTCAAATTTAAATTACAAAATGAACCATTTTTTCTATTGTTCAAATGTCAAATTAGAAAAAAAAACTATATATTTCATGTATTGCCAAAATATGAGATCCATCTGTTGCAAATAAAAAATACTAGGTCTGTCTGGTATAAGAAAGATTTTAAAACCTTTATAAAATGAGATAATATGATGACGTTTTCATTTCCTCAATTTTTAAACTTTAAAGTTTTTTCAAGTTTTGTAAAGTAAAGTTTAGTGTTTTAAAAACTTTTAAAATCTTACAGTTGTCGAAACAAATGTTTTCCTTGGTTATGTCAGTAGGTTTTATTTTTCATCAACAATAATTTTTATTCAAAACTATTTAATTAAAAATACATAAAATAAACTGAATAAAATGAATGAAATTTTCTCAATTCCAATATCTATTCGATAAGTGAGTCATTTGCCACCATAATTTTTTACTAGATTTAGGGTTCTCCAACTTTAGCTTTCATAAACGTTAATCTAAAATTGAAATTATAAAATCTTCAAAAGAAATGTATGTATGTATGTACATTGTACAAGCAATTTTTGACATTACAAAATATAGAAATTAAAAAAGTAGCTTAAAAGTATTCTGCAAGCAATGAACAAATTTTGTACCCCACTTTAGGTGAACAAGTTTCCATTTCCGTTAACAGTGTTCATATACATATGTAATATGACCAATATGTGACGACTTACATACATACATACATATGTATTTAAATTACACCAATGTAAGTGAAAAATTGCCTAAGATAGCGTTTTATTCGTATTAACAGTTAAAGTATTAACATAATAATTAATAATTATATGGGAAGAAAACATAATTCTTTGTAAGTTTTTTTTATTTAATCTAAATAATTATTAAACATACATATACACATATGTATATTCATAAAAAGTTATTTGGAATTTCTATATAACTAAGAGCGTTCAATCAAAGAGGAACAAATTTGTATTCTTTGTTTTAACAAGCACAAGTTCAACAATACTGCAATCTATCAATTCAAAACAATGTAACACACTCTCAGCCGCATAAACAAATAATAAACTGTAATAGATTAAATAAATTTTTATCATATGGAAAATTATTTGAGTGTCTCATACTTATATATGTACATACATACAATTGGTTTAACACCCAATTTATTCTTTCCAAACAAAACACATTAAATAAAATGCCTAACTAACATTTTTGTGAGAAATACTGTACCCAAATTAATTAAACACCACATAAGATTAAAATTAGTAATATTTTCGGATTTTTATTCATACTAAACCAAAACAATAATGTAAATAAGTAATACAAGCAGATTAAAAATAAAGTAGCTAATATACAAAAGATATTTATGCGATTTAAAATTTGGTAAGTTGATTATTGCATCTACTTAGGTTCCATTCCTGGCAACTTAAACGGCATCATTCCTAAACCAGGCGGTAACTTTGGTTTAGCTTTTGGTTGAGATCTTTCAACAATTTTTGGATGAAATTCTTCAGTAAGTGATTCTTCCGTTACTTCATTTCCACTACCAATCTCTAACTAAACAATAATTAACATATTATACTAATATTTGAAAAGATAACAAAATCAAATATACCTTTTTGGCAATTTGTATCCCATTTGAAGTTAAAAATTCAACGAATGGCGCTTTACAGCTTGAATACAACATTCGTTCCTTAACCGATACTCTCGCATAATCTGGCATTGAATAAATAAATATATATGGTTCTTGAGTGATTCCCTCATGTACATGTTTAAAGAGAAAAACATGATACCTCGGATGATCTCTTGGTATTTGCCTCCTTAATTGATCGGTATTTATTGTTTCAGATTTTGTTAAGTTTATTTGTTCATCCTGATGGAATACTTGAATATGACTAACTAAACTAATATTCAACTAAACATTTCATAATTTCATACTACTTTGATGTACCTACCTTTATTATAATTTCAAATTGTAAATAATTGTGTTGGCCTTTCACCATTTCTTCTATTGCTGTTTTAGCTTCCTCAGTCAATGGAAAACACACTCCTTTGAGTGTTTGTGACAGAGCACTGACACAAGCTTCTTGTACTTCTGCAGCGTTGATTAATTTTTTTTCTTCTTCAAAATTCGTTAATGGTGCTGGAGCAGCTTCTAATTTTTTAGCTTTTTTATAACCATTAAACGTTGCTTCGGGATATTTGGTAGCATGAATTTCTTCAGTGATATGTGTTGAACCACCAAATTCAAGTTTTAAAGTGGCTTTTGTCGACGCATGGACCATTTTCTGACGAACATTTGAAGAATCGGGAACCCAATTAATAAGTAACCATTGAAAACCGGAATTTGTTTTACTATCCAAACGATAAAGAATGTAACATGGTATTTCCGTATCAATAAATGGTTTAACTGCATCATCATAATCTTCTTCCCAATTACCTTTTAATGCATATGTAGAAGTGCATGTTAGTTCATCATTTTCAATGGAAATTTTTAAAGCTCGAATATTTCCATCGTCACTTTTAGCTTCACTGAAGATTTTCAAAAGGTTTTGATTGGCTTTTAGTTTAAGATTAAATTTAATATAGAAAAGTTTTTTTTGTTGTTTTGTATTTACAGGGATAATAAAAAACTTATTTCTAAATAATATCAATATATTTATGTATGTATATATGTATGTATGTTTTTTGCCACAAGGATTTGAAATTTATGTTAATACGAGATGACAAAGTATTTGTTTTAATGTTTCAAAAGGGACAACTTTTACGTTCAGCTTTTTCGAAATAAAACAGAGTACGGAGAAAGCAGTGGATTAAATAAATATAGACAGCATTTAGGCACATAAATGCGTTATGTGTATACATATATGTGATTATGTAAATTTAAAAAAATTTCGTTTAAAAAAACAGCGCATGCAGTTATGTAGGAAAATAAGAATTAAATTAACGTTGTTTATTTTTATACAATTTAAAGCGAATTTTTTAAATTAAAGTTCCTTGTGGCCTTAATTTTGTCTAAAAACAAAAAAAAAAATGTGCTTACCCCTTATTCCAGTTTGACAAGACATAATTGTATCTTAATCTTCTTGATTCAATTCAATTTGTTCGAGTAGCTTGGTCGATTGATTCTTAATTTTTTAGAGATCTGCAAAATATTTGAAAAGACAAAAACTTTTAATATAGTATACGTAGGTATCAATAATAATGTCAAATAATATCGAAAACACAAATTTTCTTTTAATATATAAAATTTATTCATAAAATTCTAATCGTTATCTACCTAAATAATTTTGTCAAAATGCAAAATAAGTAATGTTGTATACCTATGGTCATAATGAAACTATTCAGTAAATTAACGGTTTACATTAGTTCTTTTATTTCATTTGTATAAAAGTGTAGAAAATTTTGTACATTGGATTTGCTTTTGTAATTCTTTTTATATGGAATGTACCGTTCTCAGCTTTAATGTACCGTTCTCAGCTAAAGAACGGAATAAAAAATTTCTTGATTAAAAAAAATTCAAATTTATCTGAATTATTTTTTAATTTTTATCTTGTGAAAGGACTCAATAATTACTTATTTAAGCAGTACATAGCAAGTACCATCTTTCATTATTAATATATATGTACATACATACGTACATAATTATGAATGTTTGTTAATGATCGAAAATATAACCTTGTATAACGAATTTTGAAAATTCATTTGTTCGGAAAATCGTTCAAATTCTATATGTATTAAAAAAGTAATATTTATATATAATAAATCTATGTACACATATATACATATATGCACACAAGCTTGAACAAACAAAATACACACTGTTTACATAAGTGACTTTGTAAGTCACGAATGAATGAAGTTTTTAAACTAAGATCGGCATCAATTGAAGCTGAAGTAAAAACGAATTCTGTAATTTTAATCTTCATTAAATTTTAGTTACCATAGCTTGGCCATAAGCAACAATTTTTTTTCACTTAATTCAAAATTTCTGATTTCTTATTTATTGTTGAATAAATAAAGGCTTAACATATATTCACTTAGTGTGCGTAAATATCCAAATTTAATCAAAATCCAATCTAGCATTTACCCACTTTATTTTAAAAATTTTAATCAATTCGATATTTAATCCATTTATTTTATTTTCTATTATTTTAAATACTTAATATTTTTTAAAAAGGAAAAATATTTTCTAAATAATTTAACCTTAGCATAATTTTGTAATAAACACATGCTATTTTTAAAAATATATAATATATGTACACACAAATATAAATATGTATGTAAAAGGAATTAATTAGATATTTTTTAATATTCGGTAATAATTATTTTTTGTTCACGTGTAAGCGTAAAATAAGTTTAAAATCAATTCATAAATAATTATTCATAATATTATTTATATAGTTCCTTCCGGTAACAATCTGATATTATTTCCCATTTATTAATACATTTATATATATATTATATGTACATACATATATAAGTATATCAAATTTTTATTTAAAATATCATTCATTATGCACAAACATTTGAAATCATGAATAATAAATTTTTAAAAATTGTGTGTGGTGTTTTTTTTTCGTTTCTATTTTTAAATTTTTTTTTTAATAATAATATTATAAATAAAAGTTTTAGAGAATTTCGAAAAAATTCGTTTTTCGAAATTATGATAGGTAATATGTATACTAAACGGTAAATGTACATACATACATAAGTACAATATACATGATTTACAATATGTAGATATTTGTAGCGAGCTTTTATTTTTTGATTTGGCTGAATACAAAAAAAAAATATTTTTAAAAATTTTCTACCTGTCATCCCTGTCACATTGCATGTTTTATATTTTAATTTTTGCTTTAGAATACTGTTATACTTAAGTTGTATCTTTTATTGCAAAACGGCTTTTTATCGTTCATTTTCAATATAAATAAACTCGTATATCATTAATTCGATATCTTAGAATAAATTTTTAATTAAGCTTCATAAAATTAAGTAATTTTTTATATAAATAATTTTTTCAAATATTGTACTTGTTTGTTGTATTACAAATAAAAAAATTAAATAAATCACTAAATTAAATTTCAATGAAAATCATTCAACGTTACAAAATTGAATTAATTAATATGATTTTATTTTAATAATTAATAATTATCAATCTATTTTAAAATCATTTTTGTTATTAAATTTTATAAATTACAAAAGAATATGCATAACTACGTTTGCCTATTTTAGAAAATATATAATTATATAGGTTATATAGGTCTTAACATGAATTATTGGGCGTAACTCGAAGAATGAGCGAATTTTAACTTTTAAATACTTAATCTAATTGTTCATAATTTTTTAAAATTATATAAATTTTTCTTTTAAATAATAAATTAATTACGTTTTATTGTAACGTAAGAATAATAGTAATTATGTTCATAACTGTTTATTTCAATTGCTTATTTGCTAAAATAATTATGAATTATGTATATATTTATCGAAAATCAAAAACTATAGCATGTGAGAATAACTTTTATTTAAATATTAATTTTCACAAATTTCATAAGTTATTATATCACTTTTAAAACACAATATAATTATATAAATTCAATTTTAATAAATGGAAATATTTACTTTGTTTATACGTGAAAAAATAATTAGTCCACTTGTATTATATAATATTTTTATATCCTTTAAAAATACGTACATATATAATAGAAATTAAATATATTTAAAATTTTTTGTGAGCTCGATGAAAACTTATATTATATTTTATTAAGCCTTTGAATATGTATATGTATGTGTCTCTATGAATGTATGTATTTGATTATATTTTTATAATTTGAGTAGGTTATTTTCCGAACTTTATAAGGTCAAATTTAAAAAAAAAGGAAAAATTGTAATAACAGAAACTTTTTGTTTTTTATAAATTAATTATTTAATATTTTTCAGCTCTTTTCTTTTTAATTTTATAAAATACATATATGATGTATTTATGTATATACATATGTATATACATATATTACATTCTCAAATATTTTATTATCTACTCATATTATTTTTATTTTTACACAAATTTTTTTTTTGAAAATGATTTTTTTTTTAATTTAAAATATTCATTATTAATATATATATATATATATATATATATTTTTTGTTTCTTTTTTTACTTCTTAAATATTTAAATATTATACATGAAAAACTAATAATTTCTATAAATGAACAAACCTGCTGATGAACAGCCAAAAATAAAATGAAATATAAATTTCGAAAATTTAACAGCTCCCCCACTAACAAATTTGATGCTTTTAAATATTAAAATTAAATCTGTATGTACATATAGTATACATTTATATATACATATCGTTATGTACTTGTATTTAATTTTTGTTACAAATATCAATATGTATACATACCTACATATATTTATATAAAATATAATTATAGAAAATATTAACCATTAAATTCGAATGGTTTTTGTTTTTCTGAAACAAGAATCTTTTAATAGTATAGAAAATCTACATAACGGCATATAAAAACAAATTATTTGCATATTATTAAATTGTTCTGTAAAATAAAAAGAACCAAAAAAAAAATATTTAATAAAATCGCTACATATAATTTTTCTTAAAATATTCATTATATGAGCGTTAAAAAGCGAATGAATCGCTTTACGTCTGAAAGTTAAGAATATTCGCAGAAAGCATTCATGTACTGAAATTTTTCATATTATATGAATTTATATTTTCATTATCTAATTTTGCCTATACATACATATGTACATATATATAAATAAAATTCTAGATTTATTTAAATTTAAATAGTGCGAGATGATATTATACGGGTTGGGGTACAAGTGATTAAAGTTTTAAAAACGAATGTTTTTTTTTTTCGGTACACGAAATTTTTTGTTCTAAATTTTTTTTGTTATACGTTATATTACGAGAATTTCTAATATTGTTTATCGAAATATAGTCTCTACCAAGAATAAACACCTTTTATTATGCACATTCATATATGCATATATACATACATATGTATATATATATACTTATATATGATTATCACATATATACATGAAAAATTAAAGATGATATGAATAATTTTTAAAATTTGGCAAATATTCTAGGATACCTATATATATTATATATATATATATATATGCATATATATATATATATATATACATATACATATATATATACGTATATATATTTACTCATATGATAGGTACACTTAATATTTAGTATTTTATTTTATTTTTAAAATATGAATATTTTTATGTGTGTATGTACATATTTGTAAATATTATATTTAAAATTATAATTATATATTGGGAGCGAGAATAGATAGCATATATACTATCTGTAAGAAAAAGTATTTTTGGCTTTTGTTTAATTTCTTTTATATTATAACATTATTTATATAAAATATCTACAAAATTTTATAAACTCTTATATAAATAAATAAAACTACATATATGTAAAAAATAAATAATTTAATTCGAATAGAAAAGAAAAACTATCCTTGATTACATTATAATTTGGCATTAAAATTAAATTAATTTATACAAGATTTTAATACTAGCTAATTTAACACTTTAGATTCGCATATTTAGTTTTTAATATCTTCAAAATAATTATGTATATATATATATAGAAAAATATAGTAATAATGTAACATTATATATGTATATATATATATATATATATATATATATATAATACATACATACACATGTACAAATAATCATTTAATATTCATTCTTTTCGACATTGAATTGTATATATATTTCGATATAAAATTAGATTTTATATCGAAATGTACATAATATAGATATGTATATAGATATATATCTATATATGTATAGATCTATAAATATATAGATATATGTATAGATATTCATCTATATATTTACATATATCTATATACAAATCTATATGCATATATAGATATATATGTATAGATATATACATATTTAAAGAATTCAATATTTTTCTTTTTGAGAAAATACCATAAATAGACTCTTAATATTAAGTTTTCCAATATGTAGGTATTTGTGTTTATTAAAAAAAAAAAGAAAAAAAATTTTTTTGTATTTTGAAAAGCAAAAGTTTTTTCGATAAAAATGGAGGAACTTAGTTTTCTTTAATTGAAATTCAATGAATTTTTTATGTTTTACCTTATCCCTGATTAATATTGCAAATAAAATTAAAATAAATAGGAAGAAAATATTTCAAATTGAGCGAATTTTTTTTTAAGTGCGCATGGTTACAATATTTAAGTAAGTGTAGGCGGGCACGTGCATTAATATACCTGTTTCATTAAAAATCTCAAAAAAAAAAAAAATTAAGTAAAATAAACCTTGAATTTTTAACTACATTTTTTACTTGTATTTTTCAATATGTTTTGATTTTATTAAGTAAAGTTTTGCTTCTTAAAATAAAGATAAAAAATGTAAACGTACAGCTACATTATGCATATACATATGTATGTATGTATGTATTTTTTTAGTCCTTTAAAAATGAATATTTACATAATTCATGTATATGTATTGTATATTTGAATGTATGTATATTTTATTGTGATTCATGTAAGATTTCCGTTTCACCTTTTACAGGTATTATAGATTCTGTTCGTCATACTTTAGACTTTTGCATTATTCTCAGCAACTAAATTGGCGAACTCGATTTCCTCACTTCAACATAATTTTTAATAGTAAAAAAGCAAATTAAATAGTTTGTATTTCCGCATATTATAATGAATAGTTTCAATTTTTTATTAATTATACGTCATTTTTATACTTAAATTAAGGCCCAGCAAAATATAAACATTGTTTATTTTACGACGTTTTGAAACTTCATAGTAAACATCCCTACTCTTTG